GTAAGCGTCTTCTGATTTCCTGGCCACAGTCTGCATCTGCAGTAATCTTTGCCCCTAGAAATACAAAGTCTGCCACGGCCTCCACATTTTCTCCCTCTATTTCCCAGTTGTCAATCGTTCTTGTTGCCATAATCTTGGTTTATTTGACGTTTAGCTGCAACCCAGCTTTTGCGCTTTCTTCTTTCACCTTGATTAGAAGGCTCCTCAGCTCCTCCTCGCTTTCGGCCATCAGAGTGGTGTCATCTGCATATCTGAGGTTGTTAATATTTCTCCCAGCAATTTTCACCCCAGCTTTGCATTCATTAAGCTCCGCACATCGCATGATGTGTTCTGCATACAAGTTAAAAAGGTTGGGTGAGAGTATGCAGCCTTGCCGTACGCCTTTCCCAATCTTGAACCAGTCTGTTGTTCCGTGGTCAGTTCTGACTGTTGCTACTTGGTCCTTGTACAGATTCCTCAGGAGAGAGACAAGGTGGCTTGGTATGCCCATCCCACCAAGAACTTGCCACAATTTATTATGATCCACACAGTCAAAGGCTTTAGAATAGTCAATGAAGCAGAAATAGATGTTTTTCTGAAACTCCCTGCCTTTCTCCATTATCCAGCGGATATTGGCAATCTGGTCTCTCGTTCCTCTGCCGTTTCTAAACCCAGCTTGAACATCTGGCAACTCTCGCTCCATGTATTGCTGGAGTCTTACATAGTCTTCGTAAATACTACATAAAATACCATATGAACTAGCTCCAGCATAGTTAAAAACCAAGTAAAATTCAGTATTGTTAAAACTTAAGCCAGAAACACTTTGGATATAGGCAACCACATTATGAATAGGTTATAGCATCTCCAGAATAGTCGACTATAATATCAGTAATTAATCTGGCCCAGAATTTCAGTGCTGCCAGTGATTGTTGCATTGTTTATTGCATACTTTCTGCTGCGGTTCAATACATAAAATTTCTCCAGCTCTCCCAATGCTGCTGCTTATAATGAATAGCAGCCAAGAAATAAATGTGTGGATTGGCAGATTAAAAAATGGTGCAAAATAGCTTATTTATTAGAGGCTTTCTTAACTGAGATATGCCAGTATTTAAAGCATTTTTTACCCTCTTGTTTATCTCAGAAGTTCTTCGCCTGGGAGAGGGTTTAATAGATTCCTTTGAGAATATGACTGAAAGTAGAGGACTCCTTTCCCAGAAAAAATGCAGATAACCACCTGCACATGAAATTGTGTATGCAAGTAATTATCTTGTAGTGGAAATTCATTTTCTTTCTGTAGAAAGACTCCCTGGCAAAGAATCATCTCCCCCTTAGTCTTGTTTTTCATGCCAAAAGGAATGATTACTTCCTGAAAAAGCAAACAAGCAAATCCAGATTTGGCAAACACAGTAACTTTGCCCCAAAGTGAATTTCAATGGGAAGGCTGATTTGGCTTGAATACCAAATCAAAATTCTAGAGTGGTTTTGTTATGGCAACATACCTGTCATATCTGACATCCAATCAATTTTGACAGTTTTTAATGGCAGTTTGTAATGAAGTACTTTGGCCACATCATGAGGAGACAGCAAAGCCTAGAATCATAGAATCATAGAATCATAGAATCAAAGAGTTGGAAGAGACCTCATGGGCCATCAAGTCCAACCC